AATATAGTTATTTTGTAACAAAAAATGTTTTATATTATAATAAAAATATTAAAATATGTTTTGTATTATAAACACGATCAGTATATAATTTATTTTACGACACATTATCCATGAATTGTGTAAATTGTTGAATCTCATCTTACATAAATCCCTTTTTTCCTTCTTTTTTTTTAAACAGGATACACGTCGCGATGCAACTCGAACTCGTAGAATCCTCCGACAACAGATTTTTCACGATAATCCTCCAGTAGATACGTCACGGGACTTGTTTACTACACTTTAACGATTCTAAACACTTCCGCGGTCCAATTTAGCGTATAACCTGTCTCGAAGGTTGTCTTGAATTTACTCATGCATACCAATTCACCCACTTTGAAAAGTAACGGGAAAAAAATTGGCTAAAAGGTAAGAAAAATGGCGGAAAAAATCTGGATCAGAATCCGCTTTGTATCCCTACTTTCATTCCAATTAATGTATGTCACGGTGACATACTTATAAAGAATATCGAGCAATTTGCGATAGAAATTAAAAGATTTATCTCAAGTTACAAAATTAAGTAAAACTTGTAACTTTTACGTGTCGCCCACCGGATCATAATAATTTACAACATTTTACTCATGATCTTAAACGGTTTGGAATTAATACCAGGGAAATATTCATTTCCGTCCTTGTCCAGGAAGTTAGAAAAATTTCTCGTCAGGAGCTCTTCGAATCCCGCATCTGCTGCTAATTTCTGCGAAATCGTCGATAAGAACACCGAGACTGTCGCCGGGATTCCGTACATAGGACCGATAAGATTCCTAGAATGAGATTTACATATTAATAAATAAACTTGAAACTGATCAACATGAGAGCTGAAATAAGGTTTTTTTTTCATCCATCCAGAAAATTTCCAAAAATTTTAAAGAATTTTTACACTTAGGAAATTTGCTAGGACTCAACGTCCGCTATTTTATAAAGCATTTCTAGAACTCAATTTTGATTTTCTTAGTTATCAAAAGGAATGTTCAAGCTTTAATTTGAGCTTAGGTTCATCTCAATACGATAATTTTTCATAGAGTTACCGCTATTGAAAGATATTAAAAATTTAAGCTAAAATTTAGGTATCCGGTTTTTTTGCAGGTGAGTGTATATATATATATATATATATGTATATAAATGTAGACATACATTCACAGAGTAAAATCTAGAAAAAATTAGTGCTATAAATATGTGTAACGAAAAAAAGAATCGATACAAACATTTTAAGTATAGGAATCGTGCCCGTTAGGCACCATCGTGCTGAAACGACTCTTCTGATTGCGAGCGGTATGTCCTCCGAAAATTCCGGCAGGGCTTGCTGCAGTAATATTAGATATTATTAATTATAATGTGTCCGTTGAACCTGGGAGGCAAGTTGTAATAAAGCATCGCCGGTCCATGGTTCCTATACTTAAAATACTCGTATTCTTTTTTTCATCACACAAATTTATGGCACTTAATTCTTCATCACCCTGTATATATGTATACACACGCATATACGTTCATGGCATATGGAAAAAGTATTGATGGCCTATGTATTTGTGAAATCCGTATTGAAGTCATAATCATCGGAAGTAAGTTTAAATCCTTCAAGCTGTCCCGCTAGCTTGGTAGCTACTTTTTCTGGAAATTAGAAATTTTAGACGATTTAAAAAAAAATTAGATATCATTATCTTTTACTTAATCTTTTTTCTCATTTATTTTATTATTATACCTCTTTTCAATCGATCTTTTTTTTCCTTCTTGAACTGAAGTTTCTTGAGCTTGTTCAATTTCTGATTGCCTTCTATCTCGAAAAGTGGATCTGGTTTCTTTTTTCTCTCAGCAGGCGCATCCTTCTTCGTGTTTTCCAACTTCTTTTTTAATTTCTTCTGCACTTTGTATTCCTGCGACAACATATCGACCAAATATTGCATATTACAAAAAATGTTCATGCGCGCACAGTTTTCGATAAATTTCCAACATATTTGCGTCTCACCGTTTCCTTTTGCATCTCGATCTCCATTGCCGCCGTGACGGGTCCTGTGCTATTGATCAACACGGGATCTGTGGTGGGGTCACTCGCAGAATCCGTCGCGAAATTGTCGAGCATCATTTTTTCTTCCGCAGCGAAACTTTCGATGTCGAATTCTTTAGCCATTTGACTGACTATCTCGGCGGATATGAGACTTTCCGATTGTTCAGGCGGCACTGTATAATATCTAACAAAAATATTATAAATGTTAGAAAGTAGAATTCGTCGTATTGTGCAAAGATCCGGAATAGTGTAGCAAAACAAACCTGATTTTTCCAGAATTCCAATCCTCAATAACGCCGCGCGCGGCAGCAGCCGCGTCAGGCACTCCACCTTTCCTATACTTTCCCATTCGTGCTGCTTTCATTGCGAAAAATTCATCCGGCGTCGAAAAATCTTGCATATTGTACAACTCCATTAGCTGCGGTCGCGAAACTCTTTTCAAAATCGCAGTCGCTGGCGCAAAAGGATCTTTCAATGCTTGGATTTTCACTGCATTTTTCAGAGCTACAGACGTGTCATCAGAATTCTCATCCGAATTAGCAAATACTATGCCAGGTGAGTCCAATAATTTTATCTTAGAATCTAAATGAACAACTTGCATCGTTTTTGTTACTCCTGAAATTAGAAAAAAAAAGAAACTGTTAAGTATGTGTATATAATAAAACTAACACGACTAAAATATAATTAATACTTATTGTTATTGCATAAATGTTTCATTAATTACAAATTATTTTATAAAACAATTTTTTAAAAATTAAGAAAAAATAGATTCGAAAATACAAAAACGAATGACATGACTGATGAGAGCTAATAACAAATAATTAAATACCTGGTGTATTTCCCACATTGCACGCCTTGTTACGTTTCAAAGAATTAATAACGCTAGACTTTCCTACGTTTGGCAAACCAACGACACCCACTCGAATACTTGTCTTTACATTGTCACTGTTTCTGCAATAATTTCCGAGTAGCGACAGAAGCAATTCCGCTCCGAAGCAAGTGTTACTCTGTATCATGGATTCCCTTTTCTTTCCTAATTTTCTTCTACCTAATCGATTCGCTTGATTCTGCGTGGACGATTTAAATGCCACAGCAGGTAAACTGACCCTCAAATATTTTAGCCATTGATCTAAATTTTCCCTGGGAATCAAATCAGCCTTGTTCAGAACCAACACCAGCCTCTTGTTTCCCCTGGCAGATAGGACTGCTTCCTCTACCTGTAACCAGATATCAATAAGATATTATGTATATGTATTTGTAATACATATACATGTATATTTTAAGTGAAAGCTTTCTGAAACTTGCCTCTTTGCAGCGCGTTCCCAATGGATCACGAGCGTCCACAACCTCGAGAATGACGTCGGCTGCATCCAGCACCTTCTTGAATTCCTTATAATAAGCTTTCAGTGAATTTTCTTCCTTGGCGACGGCGTTTTTCACTCGACCATGGGCAGAATCTACTTCCATGGGATTATGCGCCAACTGCTTGTTCTGCGCCTGATTAACCAGTCCCTGGAGGCCAACCTTGGTGAGCTCCTCGCGTTTTCTCTCGCGCGCCGCTTCCTTCTGCTTCTGTTTTTCCTCCTGCTGCTGCTTCCTCATTGCTTCTATTTCTTTCAATATATCTTCTTTAAACGGACACTGGTTCGGCACTTCCACTAACTTGGATTTTTCTGAATAAAAGTAAAATATTATGCTTATCAAACCGAATATTATAAATACAAATGTGTGTGTGTATATGTACATGTTTGACAAATTGGAGCACTGACTTTTAGAATGCTTCTTGGCCTCTTTCTTCATTTTTCGATTGTGCTCGCGGACCCTTTTCTCGATCTTGTATCTCCTTGCGGCCGGCATGCGCTTGCTCTGCTTATCTGCATTCGCAATGATATTAAAATAAGATTATTTTTTAGGAAAACTAATGTAATAAACAAAAATAACAATAATACGCATGATAATGTCCATATTTCATTAATTAATATTAACTATAAAGAAATGTAAATGGACTGTATTAACTAAACAATTCTATATCACACATAACCTAATACATGTAATATAACTTGTCTCAGTTTTCCATAAAGTTCTCATAACTCCGAATTTTTGATGATACATTAATACACTTACTGCGAAACTTCATGTTTGCTGATAATTTAAAACAATTTCACTAAATTATCGCGATATTTTCACGATAATGGATATTTTCACACCACAACCACGTGTATTCAATCGAATCGAGTGGAGTGAACGCTGTTGAGAGGAACCTGGACATGCGCACTGAAACAAGCACTAATAGGGACACCATTCGTGTATTTCATCGTAATAAATTTACTAGAATAAGTTACTAAATCAGTGGAATTTTGTGTTCAAATAACATGAAACAAAATAGTAATATTATAATATTCTAACAAAATTTCGTTATCGTTGCAAGAAATTTTTAAAATTTCCAGCCTTCAGTTTCGTAATTTTAATTACAAAATACATATATCTAATTCAAAACAAAATATCCAATCGATTATATTCGATATTTTAAATTATCTTTTCGTGTAATGATTTCGAGTGATTTCAATTAATTTGATTAATCACTAATGACAAAATCACTGATTAATTCAATTAACAGAATTGCTTCCACTAAAGTTTTTAATTATACAATTAATCCCTAATCAAATATATTTTTCTTCTCAAACAACAACAAAATTATTAATTTTGTCATGTATATATATATATTTATTTATATATATCACAAGATTAAAAATGATGTCAAATTAATTACTAATTTAAGTTATAATGAGAGTTACGATTGAATTAGTCACTCGATCTCGAGACGATTCGATTCGTCCGGTAGAATCGATTACAACAAAATTTCCAACTATATAAATTTTTTTTTTCATTTTTTAAAATTGCAATTAATAATTAATGACTCTATCCAAATTAACAAAATACTATATATTATAAAGTTGAATGTAAATATTATTTGATAAGTTAATTGCCGATTAAGTCAATCATCGCAATCGCGCGGAGGTCGGACGGTGAAAGGCACACGCATATATGAGGATGCGCGCATTCTCACACTTTCATCTTATTTTACAAGTGGCGTTCGTTCGACGTGGTATAGAGACAAGGCCGTTCAGACGGCTGCCACGCGAGACGAAATAGAAATTTCCGTAAATTAATTTCACGCGCGTCCCGCGAAACGTCCCTCGAAATCGCGAGAGAGTGATACAGTTTTCTCCTCTGTATCCCGATTCCCACGCCGTGTTGTTCTGTGAAGCGAAAACGGGCTGTGATCGGAATTCGTCGGTTTTTCAACGAAAAGTAAACAATAATTTTAAAAAAGCGCCGATTTGAATTTGCCTCGCGAAATAAAATGAAATACCGCGGTCTGTGAATTAAAAACCGCGACACCCATGGCAAAATTCACGAAAGGCGAGCGACGTATAGTATAAATATTTGTTCGCGATTTTGCCGAATTATGAACTTCTCCTGATCCGCAATATGTGTTTTACATATATTTTAGCGCGATTGAACCACCGACGAAATACTATTAAAAACTGTCGCTATTCTATGGATAAATTTTCGTGACCATCAAAGCGAGCCCGAGAGGCCCGAAGATAATTGAAAAGAGTCGATGTTATCGATTATTGATATAATATCATTGAATTTGTATAAATTTGCGATTGTTAATATAAATATTTGAATAATGCAATCTTGATTTTTTTTATTAATGCTTTATAAGTAAGTATATAATGCTGTAATATTATATATATATATATATATATATATATATATATATTACCGCAAAATTATAATATTTTTTACTGCTATATCATCTTAATGAATAATCAAACACGGATAGTAATTATGAAAATACAATTTTAAATAAAATTAACTATACTAGCAAGTGATAAATACATGTACATGTTTAAAAAACATAATTGAGATCATTGATCTAATAATTAAATCATAAAATTAATATTAAATTTTGATTAATTGCTTTAATTTTAACAATCACGTTAACTCCTATAAGATTGTCGGTCTTTAATAATATCTCGCATAAACAAAAAGTGTGCGAAACATTTTCACCCCGATCAGTTGTGTATCTTGGACAATAAATTAGGTACAGAAAATTACAAAAGTGAGCAAATTCACTGGAATATTTTTAATTTCATTGGCCGATATTTCATGAATTTGTTCATTTTTTTTGTAGTTTTTTTTCACCTCGTTTAAAGATACACAATCGACCCTTTGAAAGGTAGAGATACGTATTTGAAAACGGCGCGCTTTCGATCGACAAAATCGCGAGCCCCCAGCATGGAGAAGGGGTGGGGGGAGGCGGCGGGGCGGGCGATAGTTGGAGGGGGGAAACGGCCCCGGACTCGGGCTCTCGCCGAACGGTGGCGTTCGCGCATCGCGCATCCGCGCCGCGCCGCGACGACTCATTCCCGTAATGGCCGCCGTCTGGCGTTGTCAGTGAGTGTGCGGGTGCCCGTCGCGAGAGTAGCTGCGTTGCGTCTCGGGAAGAGGCTGCTGCTGCCGCTGCGTCCCCCGTCTTGTCAGCGGTGGATCGCGAACCCCGAGATCTCGCGCGCGTGCGAGGGAGCGGACGGCGCCGACGTGCGAGGCGTGCGAGGACGGTGTTTCGTTAAACGGCGCGTCGCGTCGCGTCACGAGTTTTTTTTCTCTTCCTCCCTCCCCCTCCTCCCCCCGCGCATCACGCCGGCGGTGATTTAAAAACGAAGCGACTGCATATTTCGTGTATGTACAGGTAGATATAGAAGTGTGTTGTGCTTGTACTACACCCCACCATCACACCCTTCCTCCGCCGCGTCCCGCGCCTCCTCCCGAGAGTCTGTTTACCCGGGGCGCGCGACCGTGTCGAGTGTCAGCGACCCGCCGCCGACCGCCGTCCGAAAATCCGCGACGGCGCGCTTCCGGTTAGGTCCGTGTGTGTCTACCTGGTCGCGTCCGCGTATATGACGCGGACGCCGATGCACGCAAACTGCTGTCGGCCGCCGGGCTGTCTCTCTCCCTCTCTTCCTCTCTTCCTCACTCGCAGCCGAGAGATGGTAAACACGTCGAGTGACAGCGTGCGCGAGTGAGAGGAAAGAGTTTCGACTCGTCCGGCCGAGGGGCGAGAATCGGGGATCTGCGAGGGAAGGAGCGTCCGGTAGGACCGCGGCCGGCCAGCACGGGCCCCGAATTCTTCCTCACGTGGTTCAAGGCCGTCTAAAAGCGTCCGGACGTCACGAGTGCTTGCTCGCCCGCTCGCTCGCTTGCGCGCGTGCTTGTGACGACGCGCTTTTTCCACCGGCGAGGCGACGCCGCGCGAGAGAGCTGTCAGAGCGTCGCCGAGACTTTTCCCCGTTCCTTCCCGCCCGGGATATCGGACTACGAAAGCCTCGAAGTTCGTAACTCGTGTCCTCGAGCGGCGACGACGACCAAAACTCGATGCACCGTAAGTATCCGTTTGATCTCTTCAGCTCGCTAACGTCATGTGATTTGGAAGTTGCGTACAGAATAAAACGAAATCCATTGTATTTCCGATTAATGTTTGTATAAAATATCACATGTCAATCTATATTTTGCCGATTGATATCTGAAAGGTGTTTAAGTGCCGATTTACACTTGGCCGATTAATATTTTTCAACGATGGGCGATCGACGTTTCCACCGTTTCTTTCGTGAGCAAAAGAAGTCCATTTGTGGAAAATTTATTCTCCTTGCGTCTACTTCTATACCGATGTGGATTAACTTTAATCTCGGTTTAGCTTACTTTCTGTCTCTTTCCAGCTCGAAGAATTAGGAGAAGCGAAAAGAGTAAATTAAGCCGAGATTAAAGTCAATCTACATCGGTAGAGATTGACCGGACATCAGTCCGCGACGGCGAAGCCGCCGCTCGCTTGCAGTACGCTCTGCCTATACGTTTCGACACATCGTTGAAAGAGGAATATATCCCCTCGTTTAATCCTTCCCGCGGAACGGTGGAAACGTTATTGACGTATCTCTGGACGTTTCCGCTGATTTCTTCATTCGTCGCAACTTTCCAACTTTCTACATCACTCGTTAGTACATCGTTCTAACTAGGCCCCCCCCGGAATTAAAATGATATTTTAGAGTCCGTTTCTAAGTTGATTGGAGAACACGATTTTACGTTATTGTTATTGTTTAGCATTCCTCGAGGCTTACGAAGCTCGCGTTAAGCGTTGTTTATCGTCTAATTGCACAGGAATGACTGGTCGTTTTTCAAACTGGACTTTCAAGAAAGTAGTTAACGTTTTCTTCGCGATGTAATGACGAATTAATTGCGAATTTTAAAACGAAAATTTCCCATTTGGAGATGCAAAAGCGACAACATAACATTCCTTACGTACGTTACGTTGTCGCGATACCACAGTCACTACAAATGTATCGCCGCGGGAGGAGGAGGGGCTGTAATAATGAATCACATTTTTACTGTCATGGATTTCACGAATCGTTTTAGATCGATAAAATCGCGTGGCATAAATTGGCCGCATAGATTTCGCTGACGCGATACAATGTTCCGAGCTCGTGTGCAAATCGCGCGGATTGTTGCACGTTTCGAGGATTTGTGCAGCATAAGAATGTCACAAAATTAACTACCGATGTCTCGCAGCACACAACTATTTAACATCGTCGTGCAATGTGACACGCGACAAATGTAAAATTAATATCACGTGATAGCGTAACGAGGTAACGACGAAGGTAAAGAAGTAGCTACAAGGATGGACGGTAATTTTCCTTATGATAATTAACGGTCGTGTGCTATGCGAGCACTACCGGTTTCCGCGACCGAGAGCTCGTCGCGTGATTTTCCGATGTACGACGTTAATTAAAATCGGCGCGAATATCGCCACGAAAGCCCCGCGCTATTTCCGTTGCTTATTGAAGCTATACCCGTTCGCGAATCGTATGACAGTTGCTTTTGAATGCGACATCGGCTCGCAGAAATCACTCCGCCTTTGTCGCGTCCTAAAACGGATTACACCTGTACATACGTTTTGCACGGCCGAGTATTGGACCGAGTCGATACGAGCGCGTCACGTGGATCCACGATACCTTGTACATATACACATACATACATACGTACGTACGTGACTGTCTCGTAATCGTGCAATGTGACAATGCGGTAAAAACGCGTCACGTAAGTGCCTCGGCGCATTCGACCTTATCGAACACTTGACTGTCAAAAGCTAATCGCACTTGTGCGACGTTGACTTTGGCCCCGTCGGGTGAAAGGAAGATTTCACGATTTGTTACTTAATTGCCACGAGTAATAAACACGAAGTATTTAATAAAGCAAACAACACGCGAAATACTCACGGCGGTAAGTCGTATATATACTATAAAAACGCAAATAGAAAAAAAATTATTTGTTCTCCAGACAACTTTAAATGGACTTTGATAAAAATCTAACTCATTTTTTTATTGTTGAACAATACGATATGATTCACTCTATAAGTACTAACAATAATAGAACTTTAACCTTAAAGTTCTAAAAGAAACTTTTCAGAAATGCAATATTTAGTTATATAAGATTTCGAGAGAGAAGAAATTTGACAAATGTATTTCATTTAACCGAGATACACTTTAATGAAAATTTGTTATCCAATTTATCAAGTACGTTATTATCGAATCCTACTTTAAAAGTTCAATTATTTTGATTTTTTTTTCAATTTAATTTTTAAATTTAAGTTTTTAAATTTTTATAAACTGTCAGAAAGCTACAACTAATTTTAAGTAATGGTTTTTTTTTTAAGGTACGATCAATTCCTAAGGTATGCAAAATCGTTCTTGAACATCACTGACGCGTGTATGCAAAAACAATTTGCAACGTCATTGACGTAGGCGCAAAAAGAAAATAAACATCTACCACTGCGACGTAACAGACTGATTAAACATTTTTTTTCGTCGCTGAGAATTCCAACAAGAATATTTCAGCAGATACCTACGTTTCGAAATTTTGTTCGCTTTATTCGATCTGCTCTTTTGCACTCCCAAGATTTCCAACGATATTATAGAAATCTCCGAATCTCCTATACCCACGTGTGATTCAGTAGTAATAGTCGAATTCGAATTCATGAATCTAATAGCCGTTTTCATTGAAAACGTTTTTACGCACAAAAACATTTATTTCTCCTGACGCACGAGAGATTGGCATGTTCTGCTCGTAATCTGCTGCAAAATGCGTTGCTTGATAAATGAAAAACAGTTCTTTATAACCAGCTTACAGTTTACTCTTCTCCCCGTTACTCTCCGCGATTTCTCCGGCAGGTCTGAGATGTATATCCGCGAAAATACGGTGAAAATATCCCGATGTCAATCTACGAACGGCAATCCACGGCGATGTTCGTTACGTGTGAAAATGTGATTATTTGCCAGTCGAGGGGGAAAATCGATTTCAGTTATTCAGTGATTTATAGCTCTTAGAGACTGCGTGCTGCGTCACGATTTGCCTCCAAATTGCGCAGACCCGTTACCACCTCGGGGTGACTTGTGTGTGCATCTTGCCTCGGCGTAATCTTCGTCGTCATTAAATGAAACTGTGTGATTAAGTGAAATATTCTGGATGTATCACGCAAGTTTCGAAAAACTATTACGCGTAGAGATGGTCCCTCTGCTTCGCACAGTTTCTCTAATATTATTAATGATTAAAGTCAAATTGTTTTATACTTTTTATAATTTAATACTTTTGCGATATTTATAGCCTTATTTGATTAGAATGTATTTTGCGATTAAATGAAATATTCTGCACTGCACAAATTTCCAGAGCTATTTATTACGCGTTTCTAATTCGGTTTTTCAAATTAATGATTAAACAGTATCTCTATTATTAATAATCAAAGTCAAAACCGTTTTATGCTTTTACTATTTTTGCGATATTTGGTTTTATTTACTTAGCTGTATCTAAAATCGTCACTGTAATCAATTTAGCATTCCAAAATTAAAAGTTATTCTCACACGAAGTTTCAAGAAGTGGTAAATTATGTATGTTGTTGCAAACAAGAGCTAATTTTACTTACTTATTTCTGATGCCGAAAGCAAGTTGGAAACAAGATGTTACAGGTTATTATTACATATATGATCGTACGTAATTATGAAACCATTATTTAAATTAAATTAATTAACTAGTTTAAAAGGATTCGAAGATTTTATTCTGGTTATGCTTTTTGAAAATTCAGAAAAGGAAAGATTTTGTATTAAGTATCTTTAAAAAAATGTCTGTATACTTTTTTAAGATATATCGAAGAGCACTAAAAAACACTTTAAAAATATCGACTTCTAATGGCTTATGATACGTTCATTTCTACTAATGTAATAAATTAACCTTAATCTCGGTTTAACTCCTCTCGCTAATTTTTTTTTAATTCTTGGAACTGAAAAAAGATAAAAAGTAAGTTAACCGCGATTTAAGTTAACCTACCATGGCAGAAATGATAAAAAAAAAGTTAAAAAGCCTGCAAGATTAACGTCAGAGAGAACGTATCTTGTAGACATTCAGGAATGTGTGTACTTAAACTGGCGCGTATTTACGTTCTTCTCGTTACGTCAAACGTTCGTCGAAATTTTCGACACTCGCCGAATCACCTGTCGGGTGCGATTTTATTTCAGGAAGATCTGAGTCAGCCGACGAGGAGTCGTCCGTCCGCTGGCGACGAGGGGAGAACCGTGCCAAGTTCCGGTACCGCGCTCTTCCTACGTTTCGCTTCGAATCCGTGACGTTATCCCATAGGCCGCCCTGCGCGGGGATAGATAACGTCCATCTGTGAGCCACCGACTGTGATTTCAACGTGTGACGCCACTGCCAAAAAGGAAAAACAAACTAGCGTCGATTGCGAAAAACTTGCGTCTCCGCTTCCTTCGCCTTCCAAAAATCTGTTCTTCGTCGAAGACGAGCGTCTTCCACCGGTGTATTGTACCAGAGAAAACGCACGATTTTTGCCGTCGTCTTGCTCCGAGATACCCTATGTCTTCCTACGAGTTCCAATGCCCTTGACCGGCGAAGCAAACGGATCCTTGACTTCCTCGAGCTTCTTTTAAAGAAAGCTCGAAAGCACGAAGGAGAAAAGGGGGAGGATCGATACCTTGTGCCCGATCAAGGCGCCTACGATATCGAGTGCTCCGAGAATGTTCCTTGACTAACGAGCCGCAAACCGCGATTCGTTGACTGCATCACGTTAATCCGCATCGTATTCGAAGGCAAAGTTGCACATCGGCAAAACGGAGGGTGCCTTGCCGTCATCGCTATCATCGCCTGACATTCGAAACATTATTCAAAACATCGTGGGGGATCGTCGCGGTTCGAGCAGCCACTAGTTCGAGCAGCATCCCCACAAAGGACGACCCAGTCCTCGTACGTCGCGGGCCACGGCAGGACGACGCCGTGACGATCGTCGGGAGGCGCGTCATCGAGCCGGGCCGCGCGTGTGATGCGGCGCAGGCAGAGCTGCCGCCGCCACTGTCGTCGTCTCGCGTCAGCTTGCGCGACCGCCTCGTCGCAATAACGGCGAAGATGTTCGGGAAAGTGCCGCCGTCGAACACGCCGGGTCCGCCTAATAATAACGGCGGCCATCAAGCGTCAGCCAAGTCGTGCACCGGCAGGCCGGCGACGGCGTCGTGTCTGCCGTGCTTCTCGGTGGATGAGACGCCAATAGTGAGCGCCGACGACAAGGTGAGACCTTGGCGACCGACGAAGGACAACGGCGACGATTTACCCGCCGTGGTCTCCGAGGCGCCAAGCAACTCCCTGCAACCGCCCGCCAGCTTGATGATGGACGCCACATCCCTCGCGATGGAGGAGCTGCCTAGACCCTGCCGGATCGACAAAACGACGACGACCACCACGACGACAACGACGACCTGCGCATCCGTTTGTTCCAAGACTCCGGTCAAGTATTCGCCGAAGGAAAACTCGTCGCAAGTCGGCAGGAATCACGCCAACGCGATGCAGAAGTGTCCCTCCGGTCAGAACTGCTTGAATTACGCGAAGACCGGTGGCGTCGGTAGGTCGCGACGACCCCAGTCCACCTCGACCGCGAGGAATCTTAACGTCGAGTCGTGTACGAGAGACTACAAGACCGCGAAGAAGATTGTTGCCGTTAATCGAGAGCCTCCGAGCGGTAAGGAGCTGCAGCATCAGGCGACGTGTAACGAGCAGCAGTTGAAGTGCTTGCAGGGATACGCCCCGTCGGGCGGTACGGTCGCTGCCAAATTATCCTCCGCGAGGTCTTCCGAGACGATCCACGCGTCGCTGCCGGGCGGAAAGAGATCCAGCGACGAGGACCTCCTCCCGACGGACACGTGCGCGAATTACTTCGCGAACGGCGCGTCTAACGTGCCGGTGGTAGTGAACGAGCAGTTGCACGCGCATCAGAAGCCGGCGATTCCGAAGACGGTCAGCGAGGACGTCAAGGACGCCGGCGCCGGCGACTCCGCCGCGACCGTCGCCACCGCGCCACCCTGCGAGGATGACGCCTGCGACAGCGATTTCTCCACCTCGACACCGTCCAGTGACTGGACGAGGATCAGCAGCGACGCGCTGCAGCAGAGCTGCGCGAACTGCCTGCCGCAGGATCTGCCGACGGAGCTGCAGTCGTCCACCTCGCCGAGGAGTTACAAGGAGCTCAAGGAGAAGTGCCGCGACTCCCTTTGGCGGCCCACGGAGATGGCGGAGAGCGGCGCGGTGCACGGACTGACGGTGTGCTCGGGCGAGACGTTTCAGGACTCGAGCTCGAAGAGACGCACCGGTGCGTCCTGCCAGGCGCTCAGGCACGCCGTCGCCTCGCTGAACCGCCTGGATGACTTCTACATGGAGAAGATCGGCGCGGGTTTCTTCTCGGAGGTTTACAAGGTAAGACGATATTTGATCGAAAGAGAGTATTACGATGAAATATATTATACATGGAAAGAAGGATTTTGCTGGAAGGTCTAAAAATTTTGCTGAATGCAGATCTAAAAATAATTCTTATTATAGAACCATCAAAATAATTTCGTTGGAAAGTCAAACTGATTGCTGGAATATCAAAAAGTTTTATAGCAATGCTTATCATTTTTTGAATTTCCAGCAAAATTATTTTCAGATCCAAATTTTTTGACCTTCCCAGTAAAATTATTCTTTCCGTAGGGGAAAAATGGAAATTAGTGATTTCGTGCAAAAGAAATATTAAGCATTTGGAACACATTATCGGCGAAATATTCCTGTGATTCCATGCGAACACGTGTAAAGCATATTATATGTCTCGAATATAACAATAGTACGTTGTTCAAAATTAATATAATAAGCGATTTATGCTTTATTGATAGAACAAAAAATCTGGACGTTCGATGCCGTTCGCCTGTCGGGGGATGCAATCAGATTTCAAGATACGCGTTTGATCGCGTCGGAGGAGGCTCGTTAGAAAGTTTTTCTCCCGCGTATGGCAATGCGCTTCCTCTCGATTCTCGCCATTGTTCGTGAAACAACAATCGCGAACTCGATGCGGACGCTCGCCGCCGTATCTCGCCGTGTGGAATGCGCTATCTTTCGCAGATTAATATCTCGATGGAGATTAGATACGGCTACCCGCCGGCACGAACGCGTATAGCCTGAAAATTAATTCCACTCGGTAATCACGCGGTCGCTCGTCGGTAACGAGCGATCAGAAGACGTCGGGGGGGTTTTTTTTTTATCTGTTATCCCGGCGCAATTTTCCGGGAACGCGTTTGCCGCGCTTCGAACCCTCGCTCTCGGTATATACGGACTTGTCGGAAGAAATCTCCGCCTTTTCCTCGGTCTTCGAGCCATTAGATTCTATCGATTACCCCGCGAAAGACGCGGACGACGCTGCGGAAGAGGGTATTTTTCATTCGCGATTCAGTGATTCTGAGACGTATGAGCGATATGCAGCTCCGCGAGGCCAGCGCGATAAAGATAACATTTATCGCATAAATAGCGAAGGGGGAAAAGGAAAATGTTCCATCGAATATTTTACACGTAATCTTGAATAAATCGAAGGTACACAAGACAATCCACTTTTTTACCCGTCACGTTCATGAAATTCTTATACACCAGTCGCTCTCACGAAAAGTAAGAAACTACCTGCATGGTAGAATTTTTCATTGGCAAGACGGCGATTCTACGTTTTATGCCGTTCCAAGTTGTATAGCAGCGACGATATCTTTCGAGAACTGAAAATATTTCGAGCGAAGCGGACTATTTGGACGATGTGCAGCACTTGCTACAATACATTTTCCTATAAAATTTCATGGTCGCGCACTGTACATATGTATAACATGACAATTTACGTTTTTTGCGGTGTTGCGACTTAAGAATAGTGTCGTGGTGGCTTACGTAAATCATTGTGTTTATTCGCAGCGGGCAGGAGCACGTAGAATTATCGTGGAGCCTCATCCTTGACTTCATTTTTCTCGACAGATATCAGGAGTCCGTAAAGATTACCCGCTTTAACAGACTTTTTAATTGCTATTTGGGATGGGAATTGTAGGGATAAGAAATGCACATTTGACATAAAAAATATTTTTGTCACATTGCAAAATTATCACATTGTCACATTGTTGTTCAAATGACTATGATGTTTGTAATTTTTTTTAATTACACAAATTTTTTAACAGTACATTTCCTGAGATTTTCCATGATTTTGTCACAGTATGTAAATGATTAAATTGATCGATTTACTTTACCCCTTTATCCCTCTCTTTTTTAAGTATAATATATAATGTAGTATATATTTAAATAGTAGAAATTAAATTGCCGGTAGTTCTAATGTTAAATGAAAGTTATGAAAGTTACATGAAAAAATTACATTCTCGAAATAATTCCTGAACGGAACAAAACGATATGAAATTGTATATATATATATAGAAGTAAACAGATGTGCAACTAGAGATTGCGGCAATTGGAATTAGCAAGCGGAAGAGTCTCGTAAGCACGAAATGGACGTAAATAAATTGTATCGCTTTATTCTATCGCGCTTATTATCGTAACGGTGAATCGGCGAGAGACGGGTATGTTGATTTGAGATAGAGTCGTGTAGCAATTTTGCGGAAATTGATCGAAATTCGCTGTTGAGCGCGCGACGTGCCGCATTCTGCGTCCTGCGGAGAGATTTATGCACACGTCTCCCCCTTTCCCCCCCTCCCTCTCTCTCTCTCTCTCTGATGTGTCTCTTCTTCTCTCTATCGATCTAACTTCACCGCGTGCAAGTGGTAAAAGTGGCCGGAAAGCTGCCCCAGTTCCGCGATATTCATTCCATGCGGCCCGCAATTTTGCGCATTTGCCGGCCCGCGATCGTGGCAGATGCGCTCGCCTCGCGGTGACGGCTGCGCTGGACTACCTCTACCTACCTACCTATACCTACCTACCTTACACCACAAGTCAGCCGGGACCTTGAGAAGTATGCCGCGGCTTCTCCGACGTGGATAGGCGCGTTATAAATAGGTCAACAGGAAATTGAGCACGCTCCGTAGTGACTGCGGTGATTCCTCCGACGCAGCGGTGCGCAAACCTCGGACTTCGTGCGATTACGTGGCCCTTTGGACGCTTCCCCGTCACGATGAGTAGTTTGCAGGAAATTGGGGCATTTTTATTTTATTTTATTTTATTTTTATTTATTACCGGTTCTCTTCTACACGTTCTACATATTCGCGCCGAAAGTCAGCCGGATTAAATTAATTTTAATAACTAAAGATGACTGTCTACATACATCTTTCTCTTTTCCTCTTCCCCTCTCTCTCTCTCTCTCTCTCTCTTTCTCTCTCTCGCACTTTCACGAGCTTCAATTTCGAGCTCCGCGGAATAATACCGACCGCGTGCTCTTTCTCTCGTCTTTCCTCCGTTTTGCCTCCGGCAAGGATAATATTTTTCTGTTCCGCCAGATGTTGGATAGCGCACCTCTGCTTGAGCGCATTAGCGAGACTCCCGTTTAAAAATAAACTCGTGCTTCTCGATGTTATCGGTGGATAGAATCAATCCTGTCGTTTGTGCCGTAGGTCAAATTCTGCTTGCAATCTCCTTTCGAATATGACTAATATTATTAATCGGAAGGATGAGTAATGGGTTGGGTGAGTCAGAGGCTGTCATATTTCCGCTGATATAATTGCTCTCGATTTATTATGCTGGCATGCATTTCGGTCACATCATGTAATCGTGTAATAATTTCAAGCTAAACAAACATCAAAATTTGATAAGAATGTCATAGCGCGAATTGGAATATTTTTTTGATCAGTTAATTATTTTAACAATTTATAATAAAAGATGTAAAATCGAAAGCCTAATAATTAATCTTGTAGTAAAAGAAAGTAATAAGAAATCACAATAATTAAATTTAAAAATTTGAATTTAATTGATCAAAAATCAAAATAAAATATATAAAAAGGAAAAATTATTTATTAATTTTACATCTTTTTTTTTATTACAAGTTTATTGTCGAGATCTACTTTATATAACGGGAAATTTGTGAAGACAGGCAAATTGTGGGAATCTCGAGATGGAAAATTATTATAATTATAATAAAATGAAAACATTTCGGAAAATTTCGAAAGTTAATCGCATCCGAGATAGGATCACCAGGGGCTCAGAGGTCGTGCATTCTTGGCACGATAGGGCAATTGCCGTGCCAAGAGTTTTGAGCAAGTACATCAATTTCCTAGCCGGGCACGCGGTCGCATGCTCCTTAAACGCCAGCTGCGAACAAACTTGCAGCTCACAAAATCCGAGCAGTTCGTTTGATCCCAAGCCTAAAAGTAGGATTATCGCCAAAATCAGAATTAGAATTGGTGGAAAATGAGATGTTTATATTTTTGAAGATCTTCTATGTATAGATTTATATATATAAGAAACTTGAGAGAAAGAGGTAAAGGTGACTCGAGTATATTCTCCGCCCGAATAAAATATAAGACATCGCGATGAAAATAGCGTCCGAGAAAGTTTTCGGGGAATGCGGCACCAGGATTTAAAGATTTAAACAATCACTTATTTAAGTATACACTGTACGAATTCCGATATAGGATATCTGGCATTTAGATTATAAATTTATAAATAAAACGATCATAAAATGACCATTATTTATCCAAAATTATAGATATATTAGATATGCGGTATCTATACATACGTATCTCTATCTCTCAATCTTCGCATGCTCAAGTTAATCGATTTAGCTGCCGTTTTGTGCAAGATTCCGCGATTTCTCGGAAGAATGATGAAATTGCAGAATTTGGAGTAACGTCAAAAGTCACGTAACGCGATCATTACTGTTGTTCTCACGATTAAATTGTTGTAAATAAGTGAAAGTTGCGAAATAGTTTTCTAAGTTTGTCGGTAAATAGAAATTTATAGCTCTTAAACTTTGCAGACAATTGAGTAATGATATTTGCGTGTCTTTACGATCACATTTAGACATTCGCGTGGTTTAAAATTAACGTTTATGCACGGAAAGAATTTTCTTTTAAAATTTACCCTGAAAATCATGTTAATTGTGAGACAATATAGTATTTAGGTAAATTTTACTGTGCACTACAATAAATTTTACTGCGAAATCTTATTGTAGTGCACAGTAAAATTTGCCTAAATACTATATTGTCCTATAATTAACATGATTTGCAGGGTAAATTAAAAAAAAATTCTCTCCGTGTGGTATATTATATTTTAAATCAAAGATATCTATCGAAAATTAGCTATATTGGAAGTGTACGATGGAAGTTTATTAGGGATATGTTAACGCTAGAAATTAATATCAATAATGAAGATAATGAAGAGGATAGTATTTTTTATTTTCTTATGCAAACTCTTCGATTGGGAAATTTGAAGCGCAAGTGAGCAAGTTGGCATTGACAATTATGCACATTTTAACGATC